ACATCAGCAGTAACATGCAGTATGGTCCTTTTTCAAAAGGAACCAACTTTATGATTTGTTTAAATCAGCAATGATACGTAGAACTTTGGGTTTTTCATTGATCTTGTTATTTTCATTAACAGGGAGCCTTAAGTAAGCAGTTGAAATATGTGTATTCTGTCTAAGGGATGCTTTCACAGTCTGGGTGCCCTCATTTGCCACCCCAAACCATGGGCCAGATGGCATTGACTGAAGCCAAAAATACGGGACAGCTCTTCTGGTGGGCTGGAACTCATATCAAATGAAATTTCCCAAAGTTGGCTTTACTACCTTTTCTCAGTTGTTATCTTCCAACACAACTTGTTTGAGGGGTAGTCCTTTTTGAAGTTGGCTACCAATTTCTCTGTTCAGCCTTCCTTTGCATGGCGAAGAAGTCAAGAATGAAGACTTGAGGTATAGTGCTGTTTTGTTATTGGTCCATGCTTGTCTCTCTACTTAACTCTGTTGATCTTTACTGAAATAGGTAGAGCTAGTTCTGATGTACACAGGAAGAACCAAAACAAAAGGGTTTCCTTTCATTTGTATGAGATTTTTATCTGGTAGGTGGATTGAAAGACCAATTAGAATCAGTAGATTGAAGATGCAGTTAGCTTGCTGATACGCATGTCTGTTGCAACATAGTTACTTGGTTTTATTAATATTATATTCCCTTCATAGGAGAAAAACAAACAGGAAGAATACAAAAAACTGGGTGAAGATGAAGAAACAATTCCTCCAGAGTACAGATTAACAGAAGCAAAAGTAATGCATTTAATGTGCTGTTTTATTCTTACTCTCCTTTTATTACTCAGAATACATGGATGAAACTGAAACTCCATTTCATTTTGAAATGTTGATATTCAGTTCAGCAATTTTTGTAGCCTATAAAAATTCTGGTTTGTTGTTCCTGAATATCTTCACATCTGTCATTAGATGACTGCTTAGACACAGAGATGGTTATGATGCAAGTACCTGAACATGAATAATCAGTGCACTCGAGTCTTTTATTAGCTTTTTGTAATTTAGAACTTAATAAACTGTGATTGGTCAAGCTCTTAAAAAAAAAAAAGAAACAAAAAAACCAAAACAAACAATTTAAGGTGCTATTTTTACAAACATCACCACATGACTCATTTGACATAAATGGGTTGCTTAGGTATAGCCACGACTCGCACAACACCTGCCACAGCTGCCAGTGTGAAAAGATACAGCTCTTCCGGACTCTCCATGCAGGAATGTTGTTACCAATCTGGAAGTTGCAGGTTTGTGTATTAATTGTGCTGTATCCGTGGAAATTGAAGCATGAAGTAGGGAAGATGAAAACCTCACACACTGAATCACTCTTCAGCCCTTAGATGTTTCTAAGCTGCAGGACTTGGCTTTTTTAAATGAAACCTTGCATAAGTATGCCAGACGTTACTAGTTAGATCATTTTCTTGCTTAGAACTGCCGTTCAGTGAATGTTCTTGGAGTAGTTGTATTGCCTTGTCATTTGAGGACTGCTTGGCTTAATATGAAGGGCTTTTTGTTTTGAAGGATGAAGATGGAAAACCACTCTTACCAAAACCTGAAGAAAAGTCCCAGGTGAAAAAATGAATATTCCAATAAATGTTCCATTCATGAATTACTAAAATGTCAGTAAGGTTTCCCAGTCTTCAGTTTAAAAATGGAGATAGGCTGTATTGCCTGCTCACTTTTTAACAGAAGAACAGACTTGAAAGCCACCTCTTTTTTTCTTTTTAATGACAGCCTATGAGTGAAAATGATCTTTTAAAGGGTTTGACAGAAGGGTTTTCCTGTTCTCAGTCCCTGTGTGCACCATTACCTACACCACCAGTAATAAAGGTGAGTATATTTTATTTTTTAAAATCTCTTTTATTTTCAAGTTGTTTCAGTAATCTTGATATTCTGTTTCCTCTGAAGTTTATTAAACAAAATTCAGTAAATAACATTTTAAAATTATTTTCTGCAATAAATTAATAGAAGAGAGAGCAGGACTTTAGGAAAAAACTAGGTAAGTTAATTGTCATATCTTTTTGCTAGTTCCTTGCATAAGTAATGCTTTGCAGTTGAGAGTTTTAAAAGTGTTACTTAGGAATCTAGATGGGCTTGAAGAAATCTTAAGTCCTCTAAGGTCATATCAAACCTGCCTCTGAGTTAAGCTATGCCAGGCTTTAACCCAGTAGTTGAGAGGGAATATAGAGTGTGAACAACCTGGCATGCAAGCAGTTGCACAGTGCTTCCCAGGAAGGGCTTTAATCTGAAATAAGTAGAGCTTCTAAGAAAAATAAACTCCTAGAAATAAACTCTGTGGGTATTGCATGTAAATGCATATTTTTCTTTCAGTCCTCTGTGTTAGTAATGATACTGTGTCTTGTTTCAGAAAACCAAGGAGGGTAAAAAGCTTGCAGATTCCTTGGACATTATCTCAGCTGCTACGGTTTCATCAGTGCACTCGGCAGCTCCTCTAGCTTCTACCTCAGTAAGCAACCTCTCTGTAGATACTTACCTAGGATCTACAGGTCTCTGTGGAGAGGATGTTCAATCATAGTATCACAGAATGGTTTGTGTTGGAAGGGACCTTAAAAATCACCTAGTTCCAACCCTCCCTGCCATGGGCAGGGACACCTTCCACTAGACCAGGTTGCTCAAAGCCTCATCCAGCCTGGCCTTGAAGACAGCCAGGGACGGGGCATCCACAGCTTCTCTGGGCAACCTCTTCCAGCACCTCACCACCCTCTCCAAGAAGAAACGAACTTCCTTGGAGAGGTCGTCAATATCCCAAGCATGTCAGTCTTTAAGAGGCATTTGGACAATGCTCTTAACCCTTTAACTTTTGGTCAGCCCTGAAGTGGTCAGGCAGTTGGAATAGATGCTCATTGCAGGTTCCTTCCAACTGAAATCCTTCCCATTCTCCGTCCTCTCCTGGAACTAATAACTGAAGATGGGAGCATGATGTTGCCAGTTTTACCACTATATAGACTGTTGCAAACAAATAATGTATTAATTTATTGCTAATACTGACTATTGGGGGATAGAAAATGTTTCTGCTGGGGAAAAATAGAAGTGTGAGTTTCTGGATACTTCTTATTCAACTGAATGTGAAGGCTGGTCTTCCCCCTTTTTCCATGTTGCGCTTGCTGTTGTATTTCAGCCTCTCTTTGGAGCCTCCTCACCTGTGCTTGGAAAAGGAACTGGTGGTCCTGTGCTGATTCCTCCAGAATTGCTGAGGACATCAGAGCATGTTCTCTCTGTGGGTAGTTACCTGTGTGCAGTAGTAACTACCTATGAGCAAGTAGTTTCCTATTTTGACCTGGACCTTTAACAGTATCACACCTTTCTTTTCCTGGTTAGGTAAGGAGAGCATTTAAAATAATAACAGTGTAGTCATGACCATAGTGGCAAAGTTATTTCTTAAGCCTAAAGGAGGAGTTGAAGGTTAGTGGAGGCAGCACCATGACCTCCTTTTAATGCCAGACCTTCCATTTGTGGGATTGAGTGGTAGTGTTGCATGCTTCATTCTTTCTCCAGTTTGATCTGTGCAGTGGGTGCTCCCTCTAGTGTTTCCAGTCTAATTTGAAAAGGAAATATAAAGCTTCTCTCACCTGGCTTTTAGTTGGTTTAATGGCTTTTTCTTCCTAGTCAGTATTTGAATAAAACTGATACGAATTAGCAAAATGCCGTACATAAAATGTCAACCTGAATTAAAATATATTAACAATTCCTTAGCAGTTACTCTTCAGTAATAATGATGTTTGCAAAGTGAATGTCAATTAGTGAAAACCCAATCTTTTCATAGAATTGTTCTCATTAGATCAGTTAGGCTTATGTGTAGCAAAGCCATTAAAATAAATTCCATTACTTCTTCTTGAAATTATATTTTCTGTAGGTTTAAATATTTTTTTTTCCCCAGCTATTGCACTACATTGTAATTACAAAGGATTGTCCATTATTCACTGAAGTTGACAGTTCATTAGTCAGTACTTCTGTTTGCTTAATTAGTTAAATTATTTTTACAGCTGATTTGTATTTAGGGATGTGCTTATACTTTGTTAGGGAGGAAAAGAGATGGATGAAGCGTTGGATCTCCTGTCCGATTCCTTGGGACAGAGAGAAGTCAATCCTGATGAGAACAAACCACTTGTGGATAAAGTAAAGGTAACTGAAGACATTTTGCAACTTAAGCAGTCTGGGGCAGGGAAACAAACAAAAAAATTTTTTAAAAACTGGGTTACTTACCTTATTCCTTAGAGTTTGGTGGGTTTTTTTTAAATGGTATACTGTAACATTTCTTACATACTTGTAGGAATATATGGCATGTGATTTTCAGATGTAGAAGTAAGGTTACTAGAAAAAAAACACCATACGTGTTGTTCTACATGTAAGAATATCAACCAGTTCGCTTAAATATTTTTTGCTTCTAAACAAGCACTCCTCAGTCAGCTGGATTAATTGTGTTTTGTGTGTGAAAAATGTGAATTAGTTTATACGCCTTAGCCACTTGGAGGTAAGTGTTGAAGTATTACAGGAAATTTACAATAGTTTTATTTCAGTGCCTTTTCTTGTCACTGTTCTAATTATTTGTCAAGTGTCTTCTCTGCCCTCTGTTTCTCAAACTCATTTTGTAGCCTTACTTTTGTCAAGTTTGACTTTTATGATCCCACAAATACGAAGTTCATCAACAGATGTGTTTGTTTAATTAATCCCATTTTTTAACTTGGTTGTTTCTGCTGGTTTTGACTTCATTCAGTCTTTCTTCATATAAGCTTTTTAAAAAATCTAATGCTTTCAGGAAAAGGCTAAATCTGAACACAGAGACAAACTTGGAGAAAGAGATGATACTATTCCACCTGAGTATCGAAAACTTCTGGAGTCAGGTGAGCAGGTAAGGAAAAGCTTTGTTAGTTTTTATTTCTAGCACCAGTAATTTGTGCATATGAGCCAATCTGTGCTCTTTAGAATTATAAAGAGAACAGGGAAGCTGAATAAGTGAGTAAGTGTGTGTACTATATTTATGTATAAATGTTAAACATGTAAATATCCTATGCTTAGAGTAGCTTTGTATGTCCTTGCATGCGTTTGAATCAAAAAACCAAACAAAAAAAATAGGTGTGGGTTTTTTGGGTTTTTTTTTGGTTTGGGTGTTTTTTGTTGGTTGTTTTTTTTTTTAATTGGGCAGTCGGAACAAATGAATTACTTTGAACCTCACAGTAGCAATCAGGGTCCTGGAGATTTAGCAGTATAGATTCCAGTATGCTGGGTTAGTGTTGTGGGTGCTCTAGAAAACCAAGTGAAAGAGTAGAGTGTCTATCTTGGAACAGCTTGGTTTTATAGTCGTCTTCTACATAGGAGGTACCTGCAAACTGTGGCTAATAATGCTTATTCATTCCGAGTGGTTTCATTCCAAGTTTGGGGACAGAGTGTATATAGAGGTATTGCCTTGGCCATATACCTGAAACCCTGTAAAACTGCCATTCACTGGAGCGCAGGACCACTCTGGTAGTGATTTGATGTTCCGTGGATTGGGAAGCCAGTTTTTCAGTAGATTACAAGGTTAGAAAGATGATCTCACAGACACAGTCAAAGTAACAGACCATGAAGACACATTGTGAACTGACTTGGAATGCATAGCATGAGAAATAAATAAATCAGTTCTGAACAGGGCAACTGTCTTGGTAATCTGTAAATTCCTGATGTTGTATATAAGTACTTGTATCTTAAAACTAGCATGACTAGTTCAAAATGAGGATGTAATCTTTCTTCTTCCCAAGGGCAAACCAGCAAAGCCAATGGCAAAGGATGATGTGAAACACAAAGAACAAAAGGTAACATTTATGGTATTTTCCTTCTGTGTTTGTTTCATGTGTGTGCTCTAACGTTTTCTCAAAGTAGTGTCATTGTAGGCTCAAGGTGTGATTCACTGAATTCTCATCAATGCTACTGAATGCAGTAGGTAATAGTAACAGTGTGGACAGTAAATGTGTTGTGAGGAGTAACTTTTCACAATAAATAATTTTTTTTTTACGCACAACTGCACTGTGAATGCTCAGGTTCAGTATTCAAAAAATTGTGTATGTTGGAAACCTGAAATAGAAACCTCTGTTTTAACATATGTGTAGAGCCTAGGTATGTTTTGTTTCGGTTTTGTTTTGGTTTTTTTTTTTTTTTTAAAGAAACAGGTAATTAAAGCAGACATAAGTTCCTGACACATTAATTTGTCTGCCCTAAAGTGAATTTTCCTTCACCTCTTATCCCTGCTCACAGTGGAACAACAGTATTAACAAAGAGTCAGTAAATAGATTACGACTTTTTCTCCATCTGTACAGTAATTTTACTTTAGATAAAGTGGGAAGTATTGCATATTGTGTGACTTAAGAATTGCAGTCATTGCAGAAGTCTACAGATGATTCTGCAGCTATCGATGCCCTATCGGGTGACTTTGATACTTTCGCAAAGACTCCTGCCACACCACAGCACTCAAAGGTAGGACATTTTCTGCTAGTAACTTGCAAAATAAACAGTTTCTTACTACTCTATGGAAGTTCCTTGCTTTTCTTTGCAGTAGCTCAGTTTAGAGCTAGCCTCTTTAGAAGATTCTGTCCAGATGTAGTAATTGTCTTACTACTATAGTGGAAGTTCGATGCATCTTACTGTGTACTAAATATTTGGAAGAAGGAAGATTTGTGGTATTTAAAGTCTTTTAGAGAGGTAAGACAGGCTTGGAGAAGTGAGTTGAGCAGAGAATTGTGGTGAGTGTCCAAAAAGTGTAGAGAGGCAGAGAAATCTTTCTTTAGTGATCATGTGCACTACCTAGCATTAGGTGCAGGCTGGAAGTGAGAAACAGCTTGAGGGTTTTGCAGAGAGAAATGCCAGGAGTAGAAAAGAGTTTTAGTTGTGTTAGGGAAAATAGTAGAGCCAACAAGAAAGATGAAGAGAGGATGTGAGAGGTCTTGTAATGAGAAATGGAGTCTTTATTTGTAATAAATCATCTTAAACATGGCTGACAAGCAGCTGTAAGACATTAACCTACCAAGTGCTGCACGTGCAAGGCTGTATGACAGGAAGCAGCAGTGGAAGCTGTGTAAACCTGGAGGTCACCGACAGGAGATGGTGCTTGAGAAGGGATGGATGTGCTGGAAAAGAGTGTGAAGAAGGAGACTCAGTTTTGGTCCACATGAGAGGACGAACCACTGACAGACATGTTTTCTGCTTGCTCTTAACACAACGTTTGTTACCTTGAGCGTGGCAGAGGGAGAGGTGTGGTAGGGGTGAGACACGCACTGTGCTGCTACAGTCACCATACATGCTCCTGGGCAGGGGAGCCCAGGGACGCTCTGGGACAGCTGGTAGGATATTGGTGGCTTCCTTTGATTTTCTACAAGTACTCCAACTAGTTAGGCCACTTGTTCTTTTACTCCAGCACATGCTAAACAGAAAGGAGGCTTGATGTTATGTGAATTCATGTGCAAAGCCAAGTGCAAGGTCTTGCAC